CAACAAGAGCAAAACAAAAAAAAAAAAAGAAAAAAAGGAAATCATACAGTGGTGGCCAGATGCGGTGGCTCATACCTGTAATCCCAGCTACTCAGGAGGCTGAGGCAGGAGAACCACTTGAACTGGGACGTGGAGGTTGTGGCGAGCCGAGATTGCACCACTGCACTCCAGCCTGGGTGACAGAGACTAAAAATAAATAAATAAAAATCATATGGTGGGTAGTTGGTGGGGCTGGGATTGAAACCCAGGCCTGTCTGGCTCCCTGGCCTGCATTCTTGTTCTCTGCATGGTGTGCCTTTGCTTCTCCTGCACCCCTGCCTGCCCCATTGGCTCATCCACAACAGCCTCAGGTCTCTTCCTCCCTTGGGTCTGATTCCTACTTTCTCTGCAGTTGTTGTGCCAGATGCTTAGAACTCACACCCCCGAAGGCCCCGCCCCTTTCCAAAGTTCATTCTTACCACACCCCATTCTGGGCAAGGGAGCTCATTACTTATCCTCCTGCAATATCCATAAAAAGAAGGCTTACCTTTGACACTCGAACAACTTGTTTCTTTTATTTGCTATATTTTTATTACTTTATGGTCTGTGTGTCTGCTCATAGCCACACTGATTATGGGGTCTGGTGTGTGTGCCTGTGTGTGTGTGCTATGTCTGCCTGCTGAGCTCTGGAAACAGCAGCCTTGGGCCTCTTGCTGCATGGAGTGTAACCTCTATGTTGCTTTTTTCAATCTGTCTCCCCGCCTAGTCTGCAAGCACCTGTGGGCAGGGAGTGCAGACTTGTTCATCTGTATAACCCTAGTACCTGGCGTGATACTTGACATTGAGTGTCGGGATCTTAATGGACGCTTGTAATAAAGGAAGGCCGTGTGCAGGAAGGCATTTGGTGATGGTGGTAGTTGTGATGAGTGGGGATCATGATTGCTTGGTCTTGGGGCAAGAGGTTCAAGGTCCCCAGATCCTTTTCTCATCCTTTCCTCTGTAGCTCAGAACTTGGAGTCAACATCCCCTGAGCCTCTTGGGAGTGAAGGCAGGAAATCAGGGAGAAGAAATTAGGGGTGGTCAGCATCACGAGTTTGGTGCATGCCAGTGAAGGTCTGTGTGGGGCCAGTCACCTTGGGTCATGCTCTGGGGCCACTCATTGCACCCTTAACCCTGGCCACCCATACCCTCCTGGCCATCTCATCCCTTCGTCTTTGTTAGTCTTCTGG